TATTCAACACCACTTGTAAGTAACTATCGATCGCATATGTTAGTTTAGTCTTTTATCTAGATTTGTTTCTGAAATACAACAATAATAAATATAATTTTTAGTTGATGTTTTTAAGGAATCGAACTTAAAAAATGTTTAAACGTATGCATGTATAGTTTTCATTTTGTTTAGGACATTAAAAAACGTTCATAGTATATATATATATATCATGTTTCAAAAGTATTCAATCACTGATTTTAATAAATTTAAATGAAAGTTATAGTCTAGGATACGAAAAAAGCAAGTTAGGTAACTAGTGGGAATTCAATGTTAAATTCTATTGCCTTAAACCAAAAAATAATAAAATTACAAACGTAAGATTATAGTCTGTTGATCAAAAAAACGCTCGCAAAACATTCCATTGGTACTGTCAATTAAGTTAACAATTACTTTTTTATTGTTCTTGAAAAATACAATAACTACAACCATAATTAAATAATAAGAACTTTTACTAATTATATTACATTTAATATCAAATAGTCAATGAAGGAATAACTTGGGAGTAGTATTTTTACAGACTAAGCAATATAACTTTTTTTCACATAAATGTTTGATATTGTTAATAAATGAAATGTTACAAATTAATAAAAAAATGTTATTTTTTTTTATATATTTATTTTATTATTGTAATTATTTTTTAAAAGTATATTTACATAGTATATCTTATTATACATTATGATACATCTATATATATTTTTTTATAATGCATTAATATTATTGATTGTGCTACAACAAATTTATTTTTACTCGTTACCGAATGATTATTTGTTTCAATCAATTATCTATCATCAAATTATAATTTGTCAGTCGAAACACTTTCACTGTTTATTTTCTGTAAAACTTCTTATGAAACAGTTGTCCTAGAATTTACCTTTAAAAATGTTTTAATCATTATTATGATAAAATATGTATATACGTTGGCGTATTCAGAATGTCAGCCAACGCAATATTATTTAATAATGATTTCGGCTTGTACTATTACTTCAGGTTAAGGTCATATATATTTGTAGTTTAAACAAATAACGCTTGTCCCGTTGCCGTGCAATGTATGTAACTGTAAAACTAATTTGATTGACGTGATAAATGAAATTAGGTACCCGATGACACTGTCGATTTACAGAAGCAATTTTTTTTACCTAATCATCATTTATTTTCTTGACTAAGTTTTTGAGTGATAATTGTGGTTGACAGAATCGACAATCTTGTTTTAGGCGCAACGTGTCCCAAAAATATTACATGGGAAACTTACTTTATTTTATTATTTATTTTTATTCTGAAGTAACGTGATGAAAAAAAATCATCAACACTTGTAAAGGTATGACAGTTGTGAAAGTGTAACGGACTTGGTTATAATACATATAATTCAACTAACATTTTTTGCTGTAATCGACAACAGTGAGTGTTACTCATATGAATAGATATTTAAATGTATAGTGCTCAAAAATGCAAATGCTTTTGTGTGGTTATTTTAAAAATTAAGACTGAATAATTTGTGCTTAAGTACCAAACTTTCGCGGAAATAAAAAAACTCAACTTATACGTGTAAAAAAATATATCTTATAGCATACGTGTGTACTGATATGGAAATAACAGATGTTATAAATGTTTAAAAAAATAGTTTATATTGAATTTATTTAATGATTGTATGATTTAATGGAATAATATTATTTTTTATCACATCGATATCCTAACAGTTAATTTACATTAGCATACATTTTTAACTTATTGTAATACATAATAAATAGTTTAATTTTTTATTTTTACATCGAACCAAGTATTACTAATGGAAAACGATCAAGTGTTCATCTATTAAGTAGCCTAAAGGTGTATATTATAAACCAAGGTTAAAATGTAGGCAATCTTATAATGTACATTATATTAAATAATTGACAACATAAGTCAAAGTACTTGTTGGGCGATAAGTTTTCTTTTTTATTTTGGTATTTGAATTTTTGATCACCAGCAAGTTATATAATTAAAATAGAACATCTCAACTATACTTTACTTAATTATTTACCACAAAATATCGAAAATATAACAATAATCTAGTAAATATCAAATTTTTACACGAATAGCTAAAACATACATCATTTTTTTTTACAATATTGTTATTAATTATTCTTAAATTAAAAGCTTTCATAGAACATTTATCATGCACTGTTTTTTTAGCATTCGAATAATTATGTGAATTAAACCGTGTGAACTATATGTGAAAGCAGATATTTTGTAATGAGTTCATAAATTTACCATGATTTTAGTACAATAAAATGTGTCGTTACATAGAACACTACGTATTATTGTTTTTTTTAAATATTCTCTTCAAAAGATAGAATAAATTTAATTTGTATTACGATTAATACGATTAGCACTTGGTTGGGTTGGGTTGCATATAGTTCAGTTACATTATTTTAGAGATAAATTTATAAAAGGATCCAACCGACCAATTTTAATCCTTTAATTGTTTTAAGTTTTTCTAAACAATGTTGATTGAAAATAATAAAAAAATACTTGTATCTATTAAATTAATTTTAACTGTGAAGACTGATTATTTATATTTTTCTTACTGATAAATTTCAATGACTATAATAATTATGAAATGATCAGATTATAAAAAACAATAAACGAATAGACCAATAACGTAGTATTTATTAGGAAAATATAAATAGGTGATTCTATTTGAATGATGCGGTAACTTAATTTTAATTTTGTACAATTAACATACTAATTACTATTAGTTTTCAGTCGACTGCAATTTTCGATTAAACACATATTTATTATAGTATGTACAATCTATGAAAAAATATTTTATATACACAACTATTAGTTATTATGTGTTGCTAATTGAAAATTGTTGAACTTATCAATAATGAAAACCATTTTTCATGTTTCATAGTTTTATTATTTCTTATAAGGCGATAACGTGTTAGCAATAATTAATCGTTTTGACTTATGACTTATAGTGTAATTGTACTGTTTGCTAATTGGTTGCAGAATTAAGTTTTAGTAATACCACATTAAACACGCAAGTATATGTATTAAGTATAGATTATCATCATACGAATGATGTAAAAATATCAGAAACCCAATGGTTTTATTGTTTTAGTTCTAATTTCTTGATTTATTACAATAAATTCTAAGCAAATAACTGACTAAGAAACCAAGTGAAAGGTGGCCGGAAATCTGTTGATTTGATGTTGTGGCGGCGGCATATGCCGTGACTATATCCTCTTTAAATCACACGATTTTATGTCTGTGCTATAACATCTATAGTCAAGTATTTACAAAATTAGATGGATCATTATAGGTTTAAAGAAATTTATTGAACATTTCGAAAGTTTTAAAATGCTTTCAAGAAACTTGAAAGATTATAATTTAGTAATGATTTTTGTGTCATACACCTATGTAATAAACTAATTAAAATAAGATAGACAATGCATTGCTTTAAATACAATCACTTAATTTTTTATTTATTGTGAAATAATTCAATTTTGAATGCTGGCATACTTTCTATGCTATTGGGTAAAAATTTTGTGCAATATTTTTTTACATGTTACAAAATAATCTGTCAATATTATTAATTTAATGAAAAATGTGTGATCATTAAGGAGATTGTAGGTCGATTAGCTAAAATTCAATAATATTATATTATTTATATCAAAACGAGAATATTTTAGAATTATTTGTCATTGCAAAACATTAGTAAATACTCGATCTTGTCAAGAATAACGTACAAATGAAAAACATTTCAAATCAACAGTTTCATTAAATTTTATGAATTAGACAACAGTGTAATTAAATAATTACATAAATTAATGCTCATTTGTCTTTACAGATAATTGTTTATTTTGATGTTACCATTTGATGTTGAATATATGGGTAACTATAGTAAATTTTTATTTGTTTTGTAATTCAAAAATACACGAACAAACCGGAAATAAAGCAGTATTTCAGGATATTTTCCCGTAAGCGTTCTAAAAAAATCCAATAAAAATAGGAACTTTCGTTTTTATCATTTTACTTTGGTTACCATTTAAAAATTAGTAATAAATTATTATTATACAACGCGTTAGATGTAACTATGTTAATAGTTTCTACATTGTTCATTTTTAAAGCAAACTGACCGTGGCATATGAAATAATATAATATGGCGGTGCTAATCAAGATATTACATTTTAAATGAATGGTATCTAATTGTCATTTAATTTTTTGTATCCAAGATACAAATAAATGACAAACGTTTTTGTCCGTAATAATTTATAAATGAGTTTTTAATATTAATTAAATTATTGCTACAAGCTGAAAAGCTTCAAAAATAAAAGAAAAAGTTTCATAAATTATGAGAAATCCACCGGATTTCAATTAATTCAAGGGCGGATTCTTTTGGTAAAGCTATGGAAAATATAAATTTACTTATAGAATATAAATTTTCTAAATTATAATAGAAAAATAATAATATTGTTATACATTTTTAAAAGAAAAATTTATGAATATTGTTAAAATAAAATAAAAACGTATATTTTTTTTTACGTTAGATTCACAAAATTGATTAAAATAAAATTAGTGTTTAAATTTCTCCGTGAGCATTTGCGATAGTTTTTATTAATGTTATGTTTTTCCTGAGGACTGTCACGTCGTTTTTTAGTGTAGGGAAAAGAAAGTAAGCTACGTATTGCCATTTATCTTTCGTTATCCTTGTACATTTTATAGCTGTTGGTCACGATATTCGACCTATTATGAAATGTCGACTAAAAAATAGATTAATTTATTAATAATTTTTATTTACTACCGTCTCTTCCAGTTCTAGACACTAGAGCTATAATATATATCCTCTCCTCCTCCTCCTCCTCAAAAAATAATTAAAATCGATTCTTATATTTAAATTTGTTTTATTACTTAAAAATATTTTTATAATTTGCTATTTATACTAGTGTTATAATATGATGAATTGTACTTTGTTACAGTTAGAAGAGAACAGAGCGTTACGGTTGAAAAGTGATGATCGTTCCGCTTTGACGTTTTTCGATGATCAGTTAACCAGCAGCAAACGGATTGAGAGTTCGCCACCAAGTTCTCTGACCAATGGTCAGGACTTTTTTACGGCAGGTTCGACGTTGAGCAGTTATTTGGATGAAGCTGCATATGTAGCTGGTGGTCGATTGAGACAAGGAGAAGATCCATATGCCAGGAACAAATTCAATCAACTGGCAAGTGATAGTTTGAGGAGTAACCGGCCTGTTCCGGATACTAGAAACAGCAAGTAATAATTTTGAAAAGGATATTTTAAAACATATCGAGTTCCTGGTGATAAATAAAATAAAATTGTAATTAAAAATCTAGTAATAATTATGAAAAAAATAACAGGTCATGTAATAATTTCATTGTAAATTCAAAATCTTGGTAACATCTAGCAGTATTACATAAATTGTAATTGTACTTAAATATGATGTTAATTGATATTATATAACGTAACAATTAGTTTTTAATTAATTTTAAATATCACAAAGAATAATTTATTATTTTAAGACGCACAAAAACAACAAATTTTCTTGTAGATACGGAAATCGTTGAGTATTTTAAGTTTAAGTAACATGTAAATTATTTAAATTATCGCTTTTCTATTTAAATAAATATTTTATTGATTTAAAATCGGTCAATACAGTATCTGTAATTGAAATATAAATTTTATTAATTTATATTGAAATCGTGTGATTGAGATTTTAACACACTCAAGTATTTTCAATTTATTATAGAGAAAATGTAATCGAATTTTTATTACAGAGAATAAATAAAATACACCAGGAAATAAATGAAAAAAATTTTGATTTAAGATTTCAATAATAAAAATTTTGTATTATTTTCTAACAGATGTATCGATAAAAAGTACCGTACGATTTTGCCTGAGACTAGTGTGATAATAACATTTCATAATGAAGCAAGATCTGCCCTTTTGAGAACTGTTGTCAGGTAAGAATTGTTTCTATTTGATCACTAAAAAATTTATCTTAATAATACTCAGTAGAAGTTAAAAATTAATAAAAAAAAATTATATTCTGTTAAAATATTTTTTTTATTTTTCAGTGTTTTAAACAGAAGTCCAGAACATTTAATCAAAGAAATTATTTTGGTTGATGATTTTAGTGAGGACCGTAAGTTTTTTTTTTATTCATTTTTTTTTAATTGTACAAAAAATATAGTATTTGTCTATTATTTAGCAACTGATGGTGAGGAGCTTGCGAAGATACAAAAAGTAAAACTTATTCGGAATAATAAAAGAGAAGGTAACTCGTATAAATATAGAGTGATTCTTTTAACGCTATCCATAAAATTAAGTTAGGAGTTATAGTAACCATATGATTAATATAACTCTCACTTAAATTTTTGGATAGCGCAAAAAGAATCACCTTGTATATTGTTCATAAAAAATAATACATTCTAGACTTTAAATTTGAAAAATATGTCGTTTAATATTCTTTAAAAATATTTTTTCTTATTACATAATAGTATGGGAATACATTTTAAATAAATTTTTTTTTCCTAAATTGTAGGACTGATGAGATCCAGAGTTCGAGGTGCAGATAAGGCAACTGCTCCAGTATTAACCTTTTTAGACAGCCATGTCGAGTGCAATGTAAATTGGCTTGAACCGCTATTGGATAGGGTAGCAGAGGTAAAAACAGTTTTAAATATGTTTTATAGTTTTAAAAAGTTATAAATTCCTATTTTACATTATTTTTAAGTTAAATGGTATTAGTATTATTTTTTTAAATTATTTTTATTTATAAATAATTTTTTTTATAGGATCCTACCAGAGTAGTGTGTCCTATTATTGACGTTATCAATATGGATAATTTTCAATATATAGGCGCATCTTCAGAACTAAGAGGTGGGTTCGACTGGAATTTGGTATTTAAATGGGAGTATTTATCAAAAGATGTGAGAGCTCAAAGACAAAGAGATCCTACGCTTCCAATAAGGTATATAAATCTATTGATATTTTGAAAACACTAAAATATGCTATTTTTTGATTAAATAGAATTTAAATTATATTTATTACTTCACTCGACAAATACATTATTATAACAGTATATCAATTGCATCCGCTATCCGTTGCATTTTAAAACTTAATCAAGAATTATTCTGTTTCGATGTCATTTTGTGAAAAAAATACTAGAATGATAGTAATTTTTTATATTATATAAATATATAAAAACTTCATTATAATTTAACTAAAATAGTGTTTTATTTCAAACACATTGAATAAAACATTGTGTGTACAGTTGAAAAGTGTAGTTTTTAAAAAAAAAAAGGTTTTATTATTAATTTAAATTATGATTCTAAAATTGTTTTTTTTTATATATAGAACTCCTATGATAGCCGGTGGATTATTTGTTATGGATAGAAATTATTTTATCAAATTAGGAAAGTATGACGTAGAAATGGATATTTGGGGAGGTGAAAATTTAGGTGAGAAAAATTTATTTAAAAGATTAAAACCTTATAGTTATTTTTAAGTTATGAAACACACTCAAAATAATATTAATTATCATAACCATTTATATATGATATTTCAGTCTGAAATATTTAGGATCACTAAAAGGTAGTTGTTTCTATTTGAGAAATAAAAAATCATTGATGAATAGAACATAAATCTGAATATAACTTGTCTATACTATAATTAAAAATATTAAACTAAAAATTGCATGTTTCACTGGTAGAGTAGTCTGTTATTTAGCAAAAAAAAATGTATAAAATAAATCATATTCAAACGATTAAAATACGAGTGCCCAACAAAGAAAACATCATCATGATATCATCGAACTACTGTTTTATTAATTAAATGTATTGAAAATAATTCACAGTTGAACTGATCCATAAGTTATATTAAGATGAAGTAAAAAAACTTGTTTTATAAAAAAAAGTCTCATGTGATTTTTTAAATTCACTGTCCATAGAAATATCATTCAGAGTGTGGCAATGCGGTGGCAGTTTGGAAATCATACCTTGTTCGCGGGTCGGACATGTATTCCGAAAACGGCATCCGTATACGTTTCCCGGTGGCAGCGGCAATGTGTTTGCCCACAACACCCGAAGAGCTGCCGAGGTTTGGATGGACGAGTATAAACAGTATTACTACAACGCTGTGCCCATGTCCAGGACTGTTCCGTTTGGAAAGTACGTGACATGGACGAATCTACTCGAATTGTATTGGGTATTTGTATATGGTCGTTTATCGTTGTTTTCAGCATATCTGACAGACTGGCTCTGAAAAAAAATCTATCGTGTAAACCGTTCAAATGGTTCATGGCAAATGTCTATCCTGAATTGAAAGTCCCTACCTCCGTTGATTTGTACGTTGGAAGTTTGAGACAAGGAAATTGGTGTTTAGATACGTTGGAAAATCAAATCGGCCACACAGCCGGTCTCTACCCGTGTCACGATTACGGTGGCAATCAGGTACTTGCTATTCAAAAATGTTACTCGCTGGTCATTACATAATATGTGTGCCGTTGATTAACAACCCACCCAGTCGCTAACTTCAGCTGTTGCTGTGTTGGTTCTCGTTTGGTAGCCCATACAGGAATTTAAATAATGGCACACCCTATGTTGTTTACATAAAGCGAATGGATGCTTGACAATTAATGCTGTGCTGATGAGTACAAGACGACGGCGTAAGCGCATCTAAAGTTTGTGTCGCATTAACATTGTCACCAAGTCTCGTTTGACGGGCTGAACGATACAATTACAATAATAGGTCTATTGCGACAAATAAATAAGTGTTGAATTTTTGCTTTCGTACATATTTGCATAATTTGTTTTTAATCATTTAAAATATTAAAAATCGTCATATTTTGTAAAAAAAAAAAAAAAATGATTAGAATCAAAACTCATATTTTATTTCACATTTAGTATGATTGTTTATTATATATATAATATATAGAAGACTTCAATACACGTTAAACATTTTTTTTTTAAGGAATGGACATTAACAGTTTCTGGTTCTATCAAGCACGGCACTACATGTTTGTCACCAGTTGAATATTCTTCTCTGAGTTTAATTTTTATGAAACCTTGTGATTCTTCTACTAATGAAGTATGTTTTTCAAATATTGTTTCTAAGTAAAAATCAAAAACGGTATATTTATACACTAAGAATAATGTTATTATATAATATCTGAATAATTTTTATCACATTTAAATATTCTAATAATAGTACAATTATTATATTACAATTTTTATTAATGATATGTATAAATTTTAATTTTATAAGTATTAGGATTAAGCCAACATAAAACCGATATTTATCTTTATTAGACATTGTAATTTTCTTGTACTATAGGTTTTATCATATAAAGATATTTCTTAGAAACCTACACATGAATTCACACGGTGTATAGAGTTTAATGATTTTTAAACCTCCACAAATAATTCGTGATAAACTTCAACGCGATTTAGAATTAAGGTCCATGCAATTTTAATATAATCGTTTTTTTATTTAATTGAAATCCTTGAAACTAGGAGCGTTAGTTCATTTTTTTTATGTTAAAATTCACCAGATGGAAAAAATTTAAAAGATAATTTAAATTTACACTTTGTCTCAATAGAAGAAATTCCCATAGCAATATTTTTAACAAGAACCTTAAATTAAGTACGTTGTATAGATGATCTTTTCGGCCTGTGTGAATTACATTTATACAATGACTTTTGTAAAATGCATTCCTTACATGGACGACAAATGAACAATCTTCATGTTAACATTTCTCTGAATCTAACATTGATCTCTGTTTAGTTGGCGTTAATTAATTCCAACAAAATTTAAGAAAGTAAAAAAACGTCAAATTAAATTATTACATTATAGTTGTTTTATCATTTGCAATATATTAAGAACATTTATAAAATATACTGATGATATGATTATAAAATTGTACACTTTAACTAATTAATTTGTTTTTAATAAAAAATTCAAATCATCGAGTTTCAATAGGATATACGTCCAAAATAAGGTTTTTTTGGAATTTATACTACTGATTTTTATTTTTATTTTATACTTATATGTAGTGGAATATTCTTTTGGTTTTAATTAAATTTTAGTATAGTTTAATTATAGCAAATTATTATATAAGCGTAATAACCGTTTTTATTACAAAGAATAACTAGTAAAATCAAATATCCAAAAAAATATATAATTAATCTTGTTTTTTATTTTAATAACATGAATTCATGTATTTCAGTGGAAATATGATGAAAATACGAAACAGTTAAGATTAAAAGCTGTGAACCTTTGTTTGGACACTTTGGGGGCGCACGACACAATGAGCGTAAATGTTTGTGATTCAATGAATCCTAATCAAAAATGGGATTATTTGATTGCCGCTGATATTGAAAATATTGCTTGAATTAAAAATTGAGATGCATTTTAAACGTGTTGTAAAGTTTTTATTACTTCATTTAACATAGTTGGTAATTAAAACTATTGTTTTAATGATTAAAAATTAAATTCCAAATAAAAATCATAAAACTTGTTGTTTTATTATTAAGTTTTGTTATGTGCACATAAACAAAATTATGTTAATAAACTTTACCTAGTTTACAATAAATTAAGATCAAATCTCATAATTTTTTTTATATCTAAATTGTATGTTACAAGTTGATAGTATGTTATGTATATTCTAAGTATACTTATTATATTTACCTTGTTTTGTTCTTTTCTTTATTACTATTAGATGAATATATCGACAAGAATAAAAATTGTACCCTTTGTAGTATACACGATTTATTTTTCATGTATGTTGTATTTTATATTTTGCGATACTACTACTTGTACTAATAAAATATGAATTTTTAGTTTAATTAAAAATTAATTAATTATAAGGCTGTGATTTATACCTTACCATGTATAATTTTGTTATTGTATGATATTTGTAATATAATTATTTGATAAAAAAAGTTTCGTTTTTATTTTTAATTTCGATGTGAAACTGAGAAGGTATTAATTTTACTATGATATGTTTTTTTTTATTTTTTGTTTGTTACCACTTTTTCTAAGGTCTCACCGAACCGATTTCTATCAATGATACGTCAAAAGAACGTAAAAAAAATCGAATCTAGTCGTAGACATTATCTTCAAAAATTTGAAAATTTTGAATGGGGAAAATCTTCAACAAATTACAAATTTAAATAAGAGAAATCGCATATTTTCGAAAACTTTTTTACTTAAGACTGTCATAACTTTTTAAAAAATGACTAAATCAATATAATTTTTTTTTTTAGATACATGAGGTATTTACCTATCATGTTGTATATATTTTTTATAAACTTGATCCTTAACCTGCCCACAAGGGGGGATTGAAAATGACAACTTTTTTACAAAAAAATAACTTTTTCATCTTAACTTTTGAAAGTGTTCCGGAAGTCTGACACTTTTATATATATCTTAAATTAAAGGTAATGTAATATACTTTATCATAAAAAAAAAAAAACAAAAATTCGAATGAAAGAGGTATATAAATATTATTTATCATGAAAAAAATTCTTTTTTATATTTTTAACTTTATAATGCTATAACTTTTTGAAAAATGTATGGATCAATATAATTTTTTTTTATAGATGCATGATGCATGCTTTTGTATATATCTTAAATTAAAGGTAATGTAAAGTACTTTATTATGGAAAAAAAAAATTTCGGACTTTATTTTGTCTTCACGGTGATAATGGCTACCGAATGCTATTTTTGTGTGAAAATTCTGGATTTTATATTTTACGTTTTTAACTTTATAATGCTATAACTTATTGAAAAGTATACGGATCAACACAATTTTTTTTATGAGAAATAATATTTTTTATTAATCCTTTTTTCACTCGACATACTTTATCTTAATCAGGTTATTAATAAGGAACTAGCAGATCATGTGGCTTTTGGAATAATCCACCAATTTTTTAAAATTAAACACTATCTACAGATTTGCATCGAAGCGTTTTTTATGATAGTGATTTTAATCACTGTCAGATATCATTATACTTTACCCAATTATGCCACATCCTCACTGTGCAGCGACCTCACTGTGCTGGGGTTTTTATTATTAAATGTAATTTAGATATGTAGATACACATTATATGAAGAAACTACTTATATCTGTACATTTTTTCCTATTTAAATACTTATTTTTCTTTGCCTTTCTTGAAGGGTGTAATTTAAGAAATTGAGTTTCCCAAATAAACAGAAGGTCATATGCACATTTATTGGAATTACAAATGTATTTCAAACATAATAAATATTATAACACAAAGTTTTAGTGTAATTATGTTTAATATTTTAATTCTCGTCCATCATGTATGATTTTTAGAGATCTTATTATATAAATAGTACTTTGAATGAACTTCATTAGTTATTGTTCATACTTAAGTAACGGATGTCACTCATTCGAAAAGCCTCATAAGTTAAAGTCTGTATATTTCTAATAATATATAATTAAAATCTTGGTCCATTATACTTGATCCAACTATGCTACGTCACCACTGTGCCGCGACCCCCCTGTGCTGGGTTTTTTTTTTAAATCAGACTATTTTCCGTAATACAGGGGGTAATCAAAACTTAAAAATGCATCTAGAAAAAAAACATTTTCAACTTAATTTTTAAATATGTTCCGTAAATACTGACACTTATATATATATTAAATTAAAACATATGTAATATACTTTAATATGAAAAAGAAATTTTCAGACTTTAGATTGTTTTCATGGCGAAAACGAACATCAAAGTTAAAAAAAAATAAGATTTTTGTAAAAAATTCCTTTTGATATTTTTAATTTTATAATGTTATCTTTTAAAATATATGGATCAATATAATACTTTTATGATAAATAATTTTTGTATACCTTCTTTCATTCGACATACTTTTTTTTTAAATAAAACCATTTCCCTTTATATATTATAAATATGTATATTTATTCAAATATTAGATTTATAAGTCATAAAACTTGTAATGAGAATATAAATAAGGAAATAGGAAATCATGTAGCTTTTGGAACAATCCACCAATATTTTAAAATTAACCACTGTCTACAGATTTGCATCAAAGCGTTTTTTATAATAGTTATTTTAATCACTGTCAGATATCATTATACTTGACCCAATTGTGCCACATCCTCACTGTGCTGCGTTTTTTTTTTAATGCATACATTAGACATACTGTGTTATGTTTGCATAAAAAATGTTTTCGTTACTTAAATTTTTATCAGTTTGAATAATATTTTCAGATTGATAATCTTTGATATCTAGATGATTATGGTGACGATTGACACTTTTAAATAAATTTTATTGGGATAAATATAATGGTTTTAATTACTGTATTACTTGTAGCCACAATTTAAGTTTATTTGTTTTATAAATATTTTAAAAAAGTTTTTGAACCAATATGCTCTATAACTTAAAATTGTAATTATGAAAATTAATTTGTCCTAATAATAAATGGTATTGCTTATGATCTATTAATAAAATATCAAGTGGTACTATGATTAGCCATAACGGGTAACTCTTACCTAGTATAGTTTTGGAATTCTTAAACATAGTATTTTTAAATGTCAAATAAAGAATATGTGACCTTTTATATGAAAATGTTGATCTTTTTTTATTTGTCCAATATTATTTAAAGGACAATTCTGAAATAAAATTGTGATATCAAAATTTATGTAGTAACCTCACATCAAAAGCTTAAATACAGCTTTGTATGTGCTTTTGATGGTGATACAATTTAAATTGTTGCTTACATATAACTGTTGAAAATTTACCAAAGTATTTTGATAATATTTTTTACATTTTGTTATTACCTTCATTTTATGTATAACTACATGATTATTTAATTATATATACAATCTTAAAGTTAAAGATATCGTTTTTTACGTCGTCTCAAATAAAATAATGTTATAGTACAACTTTTATTCACATAATAGAAAGTTTTACGATATTTGAATAAACAAAAGTCGAATTTGAAATATGCTATAAATTATTATCTATATTTGTCAAATATAATGTTGAAAATTTTGTGGTAACTTATGAATTGAAAATTTTTATTTATACCTTCCTATTATGAATTTCTAAATATGCTCCTAAATGAAAATGTAGAGGTAAATACATATTAAATAGGTTTGATGTCTGATTTTATTCCCGAAACGAAAATTCATTTTAATAAAAATGTCAAAAAAATATGTATTCTTATATGTTACTAGTCTTCAAAAAACTGATGTCAGATTATTGTGAAATTACCTAGAACAAAATCCAATTTTCAAGCCCAATTCAAAATGATTAAAGAATCCAAGTCTATATTGGTTTCGGGTTTCTAAAGATATCAAGTTTGTATATTCTTTTGATTTTCTTTGGATTCCAAATTATGTATGGTAGTTTTAAATCTACATGCAACCACATGGAGAAGTGTTGTCAAGAAAAATTCAAAATAATAAATATAAGGTAACTGACGTTGAAGATATACTAACTACCGAGTAAATGGTTAGATACCTTTTTATATTACAATTAAACTCTGAACAGTAACTAATAATACAACGCATAGAATCGCACATGAGTTACAGGAGTATCAAGATTAACAAAAAATTTATTGAGTTATTTAATTATAAAAATAGTATCATAAATAGGCGAGGAAAATCTTATACAATTTTATAAGATGGAAAACAATAAAGTATTAATAGTGGAACAAGATTTTACATCAATAAAATTTGAAATTAAAATTAAATTTTTATGTTCTGATTTTGTAAGTACAAATTCATATCAAAGATTTATGTTGATAATGTTATCAGCATAGAAAATTGAAAAAATAAATACATTTTTGCTGAGGTTGTAAATGATTATTTCTATATTATGTGTTGAGAAATGACTAAAAATATCTTAGATATTAAACTCATTTATCTTTTTAAATAAATAATAGTATTGCAAGTAAAAGTATACTGAAATTAAGTTCATTAGTGTAAGTATTTTTTTAAAGAATATCTTTGATTCTTACTACAACAACAATGTATATGTTTTAGAAATATCTAATATGATTGTGTCTTGGAATTGGACTGAGCTTTGTGGCCCTGATGATTTTTCACCAATTTTTAAGTTTGATTATGTTATTAGTTCATGTGCAGAAATGTCATTTATCCAACTACCAATTTTATTTATATTTCTTTTAACATCAACATATCATTATGGGAATTTAGAAGAATGGATTGTTCGAACAAAAAGAGAATTGATAATTTTGAAGTTTCGAACAGTGATTTCTGGATCATTAGCAGTTTTGCCTGCTATTCGGCTTCTTTGGCAAGTTTACGAATTCACAGAAAGTAAAATATATCCAATCGAAAATTTATTACTTGCAATACAATGTTTTAATTGGGTAGTACACACATTTTATGTGATATGTATAATGCATCGTTTAGGAACAAGTCTTCTAGGACGAAAACTTGTACTTTTTGTATGGATTCTATGTTTTTTAACATCCAATGTATCAGTATGGAATAGTTATGTTCAATATGTTCAGAGTCCTGCATATACTTTACTAGAAGAGAGATTTTGGTTTAGAGTAACAGATTTATCTTTACAATTTTGTTACTTATTCACTTTGCTCTTTAGAGCTGATATTTTAAGGAATAGACATGTTGATAGACTTCGTTTTCTTGCTCAGGTATATAAAATAATTTTTAAATAGTAAATAAAAATACAAATTAATATTTTTATTATTGCCATTATATGAAAATTAGCAGTGGCGTATTTGACTACTTGGCAATTGTTAGCTAATTAATTTCATATTTATACAACTTTTTTGAGTTGTATAAGTGAGGAACATATAAAAATAAAGTTGGTCCACTCTAAATAAAATTCACTGCAGGCTCCAGCCTTTTTAGCCTGCTCTATTTTACTCCACTGAAAATTAGTGATGTGACCAATAATAGTAGTTTCAACATTTTACTTATATAAATTAAATTTTAGATTCTATTTAAAAACTAAAATAATTTTTAAATGGTTAAATTTGTTAAATTTTTTGTTCAATCTAAATGTCCTTATTTTGGATTTAGTAGTTTCTTTTTAAATGTTTGGTTCTGCATATAAAATATAAGTTTACCATATTATTAATAAAAATATCTTTTATAAAATTTGAGAAAATCATATCTTTGTTTTAATAAATATCTATTTTTTTTAGCAATCTGTCGAAAGACGCTCTGTAATGACTGCATCATATAGTCGTTTTAATGATGAATTTGATCCTTACTATCTTGGAATGGCTTGTGATGATGAACATTATAATTTTATTTCTTGGCTAACATTTGGTTGGGTTGAAAGATTAATTTCTAAAGGAGAAAAGAATAGATTAAAAAATTCTAATGACTTATTTGATTTACCTGAGAAGTTGACTCCTGTGTATGTTTCATCTAAAGTAGAAGCTGTTTTTAGACATCAACCATCTGTGAGAGCGACATCTCCTATACATTTGCCTGCCGATCATCAGACTCGACTGCCAAAAATTTCTTTACTTCAAGCATTAAACAAATGCTATGGCAAACAATTTTTTAGTATAGGAATATTAAAATTTATGGCTGATCTTAGTGGATTCATTGCTCCAGTATTTTTAAATAAGTTAATAACATTTATATCACATCATGAAGAACCTTTAAGGAATGGCTTTGTATACATGGGTGGACTAGTTCTTATGTTACTTTTATGTAAGAGTTTTTATTTTATTGAAAATTAATATTGATGGGGTCAATAATTTTAAATTAAGTTATATTGATAATTTTTTCAACAAAAAAATGTATTGATTTGGATAAAATTAGTTATATTATAGTATATAAATATTTTATTTTTATTATTGTATTTTTCTGTTATTTCAATCAGATTAACAAAATTTAGTATAAAAAAATGAAATAATCAGGACTTTTTTTATTGGATGTAGGGTTATACATTGACTCAAAAAAGAAAGGCGTAGGATTTCTATTTTTTCTATGTATTATAACAATTTGTATATTTCCATACTCTTTATATTAAAAAAATATTTTCTAACATTTCAATTTGTATCTTTAACTTACAATTATTTTCATTGTGGGTCTTTCAACTTGTATCCCCCTAAATGGTAAGCCATTAGTTAGAATGTCATTGAAGAGCATTTAAAATATGAAATTATTAAGTTTTTTGCTAATTTCAAACAAGGGAGCCAAATCAATATTTTTTCTTTTTTTCAATTAGTAGCTATTAAATAAAATTTATTTTTATTTATGTTACTTATATACTTGTTTATGTAAATTTAAATCATAATAAACAAACTTCATAAAAAAAAATAAAGTCTTATTGGAAGCTGCTCTTTTTAAAGGAATATAAGATATAGGTACCAAATTTAAATGAAATATTACTTTTTATTTAATGTAGATTTATACTAAACATATAATAAAAATGTGATTGACCCCATCATTACTATTTTGTCTTATGAACTACTGCTTCACTTTTAATTTTAATTTTATAATAGTTTTTAATGATTTAAAAATATGATCATTGATAAAATTATTTTATACAAATAAACTATTTACATTGAGTTCAATAAAATTATATTTTTTTGGAAATTCTTATATATGATGCAAAAATAGTGTATTAAAAATTAATAACTGAAATAATATATTTTTCTATTTTTTTAGAACTCTAAACTTTGTTGAGCAACTGTATATTATATTATATAAGGGCTTGAATTATACGCATTAAAATTTTTTTATAAATTTATAAGAAAAACCCAATCAGCTAGTAAAGTTTTTTATTAATTGACTTGAAATCTTATTAATGTGTTGTTACTAAGGTTATAGTTTTAAGGGTATGAGAGGGTTATACCCTTATAAAACAATAAATATTTGTATATTACTTTATTAACTAACAAAAAAGTTGCACTAACTTGGTACCAAGATTCAGAGTGTCTCAAACCAACTTTATAAATGCATATAATTCCTGGCTATTATTATATCCATTGTATTATATAATGTATGTATTATACCCAATGTACATATGTATATGCAGGTATTACTATTCTATAAAATACTATTTTATTTTATAGAGTAGTAATACCTGCAATTAATTACATTTTTAAAAGGAGTGATTAATATGGTAGTGGTTGAACTGAATCTCAACTCTAATTATTATACAATTTTAAAGTTATATAATTCACAATTCTTACTTATTACATTATTTTCATTTTAACATCAATAAGAATTTGAAACTTAATTTTAATGTAAAACAATTTCAATTTCAATGATTTTATTAAAAAATTGTTTAGAATATTAAATTAATTATTCATTATAATGAATTAATTATTCATCCCTAAAGTTATTTTATATGTTTTTAATAGTAATTATTTAATGGAAATAGATTGGTAATCATCTTTAAGGATTTAAGTGTGAGACACAAGAAATAAGTAATATTTATATATTTTTTAATACGATTATATTTATATTAGGTTCAATGTTTGGAACCCATTATGATTACCAAATTCAAAAACTAGGAATTAAAATTCGAGGTACATTAGTTACTATGATTTATAAGAAGACTCTAGTGTTAAATACTGTCACACTCAATAATTTTAGGTAAATATTAAAAGAAAATTATTTGTATTAATGAGCAAGTATTATTATGTTATTCTTTTTACAGTATTGGAGAAATTGTAAATTTTATAAGTACCGATACAAATAATTTAGTAAATGCATGTAATAGCTTTCATTCATTGTGGAGTGTACCTTTTCAGGTAAAAATAATTTTGCACTGTTTGTTTTGTTCTGTATATAATAATTTTTTTTTAGTTGATTTTAGTTTTATACTTGCTTCATCAGCAAATTGGTCTTGCTTACTTGTCTGGAATACTTGTTACTATACTTTTAATCCCAGTGAATAAAGTCATTGCCAATAATATTGGTTAGTAATTATTTTAATTTAAACATATTTATTATAATTTTGTCGTAAATTATTTAAAAAAAATATTCTTATAAATAAGTAACTATAATAATTTTATTTAGGAAAGTTAACTGGAAAACTTTTGTTGGAAAAAGATAAACGAGTTAAATTAATGTCTGAAATTATTGGTGGTATTAGGGTTATTAAGTTAAATGTTTGGGAAAAATTTTTTGTAGATAGAGTTAGCAGTAAGTTATTAATATTCCATTGTATAAATATTAAATTTTATTTAAAAGTAAATAAAATAGATCAATTAAAATTTGTTTAGGTTATCGGAAACCTGAATTAGAATTTTTAAAAAAGAGAAAATATTTAGATGCTCTATGTGTATATTTTTGGGCAACAACACCAGTTACAATATCAATTTTAACATTTTCTACTTACATATTTTTTGGTGGGCAGTTAACTGCAGCAAAAGTTTGTTCTTTCAAGTAAAAAAGTGATTTTAGGATAACATTTACTTATATTTTTTTAGGTTTTTACCAGTATGGCACTTCTTCAAATGTTAATCACACCATTAAATGCTTTTCCTTGGATATTAAATGGTGTGACTGAAGCCTGGGTATCAGTTAAACGAATTCAGCGCTTGATTGAAGTAGATATGAATTAAATAAATATTTTTAATGTTATTAGTTTTTAACAATTGTAAATCAACAGGTAGATGACACCCAGATGCAGTCTTACTACAGTCTTATGCCTGTACAATATGGACGAACATTTGATAATGCTGTGTCTTTAAATCATTGCACATTTAATTGGGGACTCAAAACATTTCAACTCAAAAATATAAATTTTTCGATAGCTAAAGGAAATTTAATTGGTATAACTGGACAAGTTGGAAGTGGGAAAACAACTTTATTAGCAGGGATTTTAGCTGAAATAAATAAGGATGAAGGGAGAATAGCTATTTCCAATATGAGAGATGGTACTTCAATTTAAAACTAATGAAATTCTTAATTCTTAATATATATATATTTCTTTTTTAGGGTTTGCATTTGTTGCACAAACACCTTGGATTCAAAAAGGAAGTATAAGAGATAATATTTTATTTGGCCAAAATTATATTCTTGAAAAGTATAGGTAATTTAAATATATATACCACTATTTAATTACTAAGGGTTATTTATTAATGTAAAAGTTTATCTGAGAAGTAATTTAAACAGTCATTCGAGAAATTCCATAAATCCACTGTTTTTTCATGTTTTAGCTTTAATGCGATGCTGAGAGGGTATTGGTTTTTCTATGAGGCGTTTTTTTTTTTTTGTGTCTGTTACCACTTTTTCTCAGCTCTCACCAAACCGATTTCATTCAACAATACGTCAAAAGATCACAAATCTTATCCAGTCGAAGACATTACCCTCAAATATTGAAAAAATATCCCTTGTTTCCCGTAAATGGGGAAATCTCCAAAAAAATTACAAATTTAAAAATCGCTAATTTTCGAATTTTTTTCAATTTTTTTTTACCTAAGACTGTCATAACTTTTTAAAAAATGACTAAATCAATATAATTTTTTTTTTTAGATACATGAGGTATTTACCTATCATGTTGTATATTTTTTTTATAAACTTGATCCTTAACCTGCCCACAAGAGTGGATTCAAAATGACAACTTTTTTACAAAAAAATAACTTTTTCAACTTAATTTTTGAAAGTGTTCTGGAAGTCTGACACTTATATATATCTTAAATTAAAGTTAATGTAAAGTACTTTATTATGGAAAAAAAAAATTTCGGACTTTATTTTGTCTTCATGGTGATAATGGCTACCGAATGCTATTTTTGTGTGAAAATTCTAGATTTTATATTTTACGTTTTTAACTTTATAATGCTATAACTTATTGAAAAGTATATGGATCAACACAATTTTTTTTATGAGAAATAACATTTTTTAATAATCCCTTTTCACTCGACATACTTTATCTTAATCAGGATATTAATAAGGAACTAGCAGATCATGTGGCTTTTGGAATAATCCACCAATTTTTTAAAATTAAACACTATCTACAGATTTTCATCGAAGCATTTTTTATGATAGTGATTTTAATCACTGTCAGATATCATTATTCTTTACCCAATTATGCCACATCCTCACTGTGCAGCGACCTCACTGTGCTGGGTTTTTTATTATTAAATGTAATTTAGATATGTAGATACACATTATATGAAGAAACTACTTATATCTGTACATTTTTTCCTATTTAAATACTTATTTTTCTTTGCCTTTCTTGAAGGGTGTAATTTAAGAAATTGAGTTTCCCAAATAAACAGAAGGTCATATGCACATTTATTGGAATTACAAATGTATTTCAAACATAATAAATATTATAACACAAAGTTTTAGTGTAATTATGTTTAATATTTTAATTCTCGTCCATCATGTATGATTTTTAGAGATCTTATTATATAAATAGTACTTTGAATGATCTTCATTAGTTTTTGTTCATACTTAAGTAACGGATGTCACTCATTTGAAAAGCCTCATAAGATGAAGTCTGTATATTTCTAATAATATATAATTAAAATCTTGGTCCATCGTGGTCAACTTAAAGTATTTAAAAATATTTATGCATTTTTCATCAATTTCTGGATTCTATATCAATAAGAAAAGTATTTCATTTCTTTGAGAATTTTTATATTTATGGTGTTTTTAAAATTATTGATTCAGTTACATTTCGGCCTACATCCATTACCCACACATTTAACATGAAAATCAAATATTAATATATAAAAAAAAAAAATGTAATATATATTAAATATACTACATGTTTTGTTTATATCAAAACAATATTTTAAATTTCAAGATATTACTCTGATAAAAACTTATAATTTTTTATTTTTGATATTTTTGTATAATTGAATTCAACTTATTATTCTTTATTTAACGATACAGGCTTTGTCTATAAAAATTATTTTGAACTTCTATAAATGATAAAAACAAAATAATACACAATATCACTCTAATGGAACTTAAAAAATTTGAAGTTATTTATTTCAAAATATACTTTTCTATAGTCCTATAGTTTTGACAGCATATCAAGCTGATTTATATATTATATTATAGCCAAAGAATAAATTTAAAATGCAAAGTACAGTAGGAATCGAGTAAAGTGGAGTTGAGACATTTTTTAGATTAGTATTGATTTAATGAGATAAATGGAAATATATATGTAACTAAAAAAATTTAAAAAAATCTCAAAAAACATAATATGTTAAGAAAATTTGAGTGATCAATGTTAAATGAATAACTCTGTATTATTTACTTTATTAATCTATATTTTAATATATCAGATATAAATAATTAAAAAAAAATTTTATAGAGCAGTTATTAAAAGTTGTGCTCTAGTGGAAGATTTAAACAATTTCTCATCGGGTGATTTGACCATAATTGGTGAAGCGGGACATACTCTTAGTGGAGGTCAAAAAGCACGCATAGCTTTAGCTAGAGCAGTGTACCAAGTATGTTGTAAAATATATTACTTTTAAAATTTAAAATTAATAGGATATTAATTTAATAATATTATAATATTTTAATTTTACTAATTACTCAATATTCAAAGTGAGCCAGATTTATTTATTTTCACTTGGTTAATTAAATTTTGTTAAACTTTTGATCTAATTAATGATTCTTAATGACAAATAAAGTTAAACTTATAGGAAACTAGTTAAATATTTCTAATTTATTTGGGTAAAGATAAATTTCAATTTATTGTCTCCTTCAAAATTTATAGGGATTTCCTATATCAATAATTATCTTTGGATAAGCATTATTTATTAGATAAATGTTTTGCTTAAAAAACTTATATAAAACTGAAAAATATTTTACTTAAAAAGCCACAAAAGTTACTAAAAATAGCATATACGTGTTTCGGAAACAATGTTACCATTATCAATGCTTAACATATATTTTATAAACATTTTTTGTCTAGTATCACAATTTAAAATTGAAATATCTAGTTGAAGTGTACTTAAGTTATTTATAATTACTTATATTCCTTCAGGATATTCACTCATCAGCTTTAATATATATATATATATATATTTATAAAATTATTTAACATAATATTACTTATATTTTTTTCAGAATAAAAGTATTTATTTACTAGATGACATTTTTGCATCAGTAGATGTAAATGTTGCTCAACATATATATAAATATTGTATAAATGGTCTTCTTAAAGATAAAACTCGTATTATTTGTACACATAATACTGAGTACTTGGTCACAGCTGAATGGATAGTAGTAGTGAATAATGGAATAATAGTAAATCAGGGTCAACCTTTTGAAGTATTGAATGATTATAATATAAAAACTCTGAATGTAAAATTTGATGAATTAAAAACTGAGTCTAATATTGATGACATTGATTGGATTCCAAAAAAAGAATCTGAAATAAATACTGAAATGTTTGATAAAGAAAATCAAGAAGAAGGCATAGTTGCATTTCTTATTTATAAAAAGTATTGGAGTTCAGTTGGAAATATTGTTGGATCTTTTGTAATTTTTTTTCTTTTAATAATGCAGGTGTGTAATTCTTAATTATATATATGTTATTTAAATTTTCTTACTTTATTTGCTAATTGATACAAATCTTATTTTAGTAAAACATTTAATTTAAGTCATAATTATTTAAATTAGTGACTCTATAAATCAAATATTATTTTAGTCAGAAAAATTTAAAATTTAAAATTAAAATTAAATTACATATATTATGATTGTAGTCCACAATTTAGCTTAAATATTTAAAAATATAAGTATTTTTTAATTTACTAAAAAAACATGAAGAAAACTAGTTTTAGTTTGATGACATTTGTTGAAAATTAGTATTTTTTTTTTAGATATCAAGAAACATATCAGATTTTTGGTTATCTCATTGGGTAAATGAAATGTCCATACAAAAAAAAAGTATGTATTAAATTTACTTTAATTATATTAGTAGGTTATTAAAATTTTAGCAAGGAAAATTTAAGATCATATTGATGTTGTGTTAAACAATGTGATTAAAATGTCTCTTAAGTTTTTTTTTAGGAACAGTGGTATTTAACAATTTGTTAACTATTTGCTCATAATAAAAATGTAACGAGCAAAAATAAAAGTCCATCATTGTATGTCAATTTAGTTATTGGAATAATAGGTTTATTTGCCAACTATTAATTTAAGTTGTTGTTGTCAGGGGGGTTGCTCCAAATCCTAACTGTCAGATATAAAATCTATGAAGTAAAAGTAGTTGAGGAAAAATAAGTCTTGCTTATATTTTGAGAGATGGTAATGTATTTTTATTGCTTTTAATTTAAAACTATTATTCCTTTCAGTCTCAGTGTTCATTACCATGAAATTTGTTTTTAGATTTTTTCAAATTTTAATCACCCTAGAACAATGCAATTAATATTAAAATATGCATATTAGTGTTCTAAATACATGATACAAAAATAATTATTTTAGGTGTGTTATTGTAATTGATAATCATGTAACTCCAACAAAATTTTCTAGAAAATTTATTTATATATAGCAAATTATCTTAGACGTTCTTACTTGATTTTATGAAAATGTGGGGGACTAAAGGGTTATGGAGTATTAATTCATAAAATTATGCTCTGTTTAAAATGTTTTTTTGCTTTAATTAAAACTTAATATTAGATTTTTGAATTGTTATTTTAAAAGGAATATTCTTGGTTTTTCTAATTACAAAAATTGTATAAAAATTTCAAAATTTAATATAAGGATTTTGTCAATGTATATTATAATAATTTGAATTTCATTATCTTTGCTATTAATTTTATGTATAATCGTGTAAAATTTATACTTAAAATTCTTAATTTATACTTTATAATTTATACTTAAAATTATTTAAAATTCTGGGTAATTAAGGGATATTTTACAATTGAAAGATAGTATTAAATTATAATACATTGTTTTCTGAATATTATTGATAACTACTGTCATGATTAGTTGATATAATCAATTGCAATTTGTATACCATAATTTCCAGTAGCACTGTAAAGTAATAAATAAATAATTATTTATATTACAAAAAATAGAATTTTAAATAGTTTATTATCATACTTAAGTGAAATATTTTCGCCAAAAATGACTTCTTTGTTACAATCTATTTGTTGGCTTATGATTAAATTATTAGTGCATGCTAATGATTTTGCCAATAATACATTATTAATAGAATGCGCATAATAGTAAGTTGATACTGAGTGAGAACAAAAAAAAATTGCTGGATATAATTCTAAAATAATTTAATTATAAATTGAAAATAAAAAGATAATTTTGATTATAAATTATCTATAATAAGTTGTATTAATTACTTGTTGGACAAAATGGCTGAACCACACCACCATTAACTATAAAATTAACTGCTCCTTCAGTTTGTCGAATTTCACCATAACCTCCAATATTTGTGTGAATTATATCTACAAATTTTCCACTTTCTCTATTTAAATCAGGCAATAAAGTAAATAGAATTCCTGCAGGATCTAAACCTATTGGCACACAGTAATTATTTTAGTATATTTAATGAACTTAAAAAAATAAAAACTTAGAAATACTTATTTCAACATAACATAACTTACCAGTTATCCTATCAATTATTCCTCCTGTTCTCGAGTACACCTTTCCAATTTTGCCTGCTAATTGAGCTCCTAAACTGTGCCCTATTATGTGCACATATTCAATTTGAGGTTTTACTTTTTTAACCAATTCAATAAATTGTGAAATTTTGTTTGCAACGTGTGATAGTTTTATAACATTATAAACATATTCAGTTCCATAAAAAACATGGTTAGAAATAATAAATCGGGAAATACTAGAGTAATCCACATATATAATATTGTAATCCTTTAATCCATTTAAGTATGCTGAAAAATCAAACAAATATGATTGACAATATAAGTTTAATTCAGGGTTATGAAAACTTTAATCTAAAACCAATACTATATTAATAAAAAAAAATTCAATTGCTATAAAACAGTTGATTTTGATATTTTCAGTTTTAACTTTATATTGTGGTCAATCCATGCCAAATCATTCAGAAGTGGTTGTACGATCACTTCATTTTTTTCTTAAATTTTCAGGGTTTATTATTTGTGCTATAATTAGATTAAAACAATTTTTTTAGCTTCGATGCGAAGCTGAGAAGGTATTAATTTTACTATGATGTGTTTTTTTTTTTTTTTTTTGT